AACAAATTATTTTGAACAGTAACTAATAGCAACTTTTTATACTTCAGCCTTTCATGCTTATTTTATGTAAACAGAAAAAGCGGAACTTGCCAAAGGTCATTCTTGATTCGGGAATACGCATCTCTACCCACTTGCCTATGCCAAGTTTTTGGAGATGCCTGTTGATCCCAGATGGATCCACCAGTGCTGATCCTCAGGACCACCACAAGATTGCTCATCACTTCTTAAAGTTCAGTACAGCACCCATGTAAAGGTGTATTTTTAAGATGACAGAATGATGCTGGTATTTCATATATGTAGTTATGTTAAATGTGCACCAATCATTCAGCCTTACATCTCACACCATTACCACAAATACTCCAATAGTTCCAATTATTTTTCAAAACTTTTTTTTTTAAAAGAGAGGCAATACTGAGAAACCTAGGCAAAATTCTTTTTGAGATAAAAGAAACCATGTAAGATACAAATTACTCAAGTTCTCAGTGTGTGGACAGAAGAAATGAATGGTATCCAATTCACTGAATAAAAGTTACACTTGCTCAAGCATTCAAATAAAAATATTTCAGTATTTCTATTAAGTTTTTCTTCAGCGTCTTCTTCCTGACCCACTATCAGAACATCATTTCTGGCATACAAAAGGCGTTTTGTCATTTTTTGTCTAGGGCATGAATTTAAGGAAGCAGAACTAAGGACACTACCAAGAGGGGTACAGTGCTCAAATCCAGTCTCTTATTTTACAGCCCTATAAGGGACAAATGCTAGCAGTAACCACCCTGCACTAGTTCATACAGAAGAATCCTGAACACCTCTCTGCCCCAAAATAGTATGAGAGGATAAAAGGTACAAAAAGAAACCAGGGAAGACGAAGCCAGTGGTACTCATCTGAAGTTGCAAACAAAAATCAAAGAGATGACACAGCTGTAACTACCCAAAAAGGCCTTTCTGAACTGCTGGAAGTTATTTTTAGATTCAGATTTAGGCACACACATACAATAACCATCATATCATCTGTAACAACAACAAAAACAAACCCACCTTAATATTTAAAAATAGTATGGTTTGTTTTGTTTTGTTTTTAAAAAGCCCTCTTGTACAGTGAATTGTTTTAAGAAGTACAGAAACTTTCTCCAAATATCTAACATCTAAAGCCCACAGCCCTGAAAACATTTAGTCCTTCAAATGAAAGCATCCGACATTAATCATAAAACTACATATTACACCAGTTTCAGTGTCTGCCTGAACTTGCATGAAGCAATTAAAGATATAATAGCACTTTTGTGTTTGGATTTATTCTACCAGGACTGATTTTTTTTTTAACGTATTTAATATAATTAAGTCATTTCCAAATATACTATGTTTGTTCTTAAGCTTTCTCATTAATAATTCTATAGTCACAAAATTATTTTCTCCCACAGTTTTTCCCACACTACAAATGCAAGCACAGTGTATTTGTTTTGCCAAAGAAACCCCATAACCAAGTATATGTTTATAGTTTTTACAAACTCTAAATCCTACATTTTGTAAATGGAAAAATAACATCAAAAAGCAGATCTAAATTTTAAAAATACAAATATTGCAGAATAGAAGACTCAAACTTGAAAAAAATGAGTGTAAGAATATTCTAAAAAGTAAACCCAGATGAACAAAGTTTTGAACCGCTGCAGTTACTTGATTTGCATTTGAAATAAACAGTTCACAGCAATACAGTAGAAAATGGAACATTTTATAATTATGTTGTATAAACAGACATAGTAACAGGACACAAGGGAAAAGCCGTTCCCTAAAAGTTTAAGATGCGCAAGATCTCAGCAAACTATAAATGAACCGAAGGGATCCAAAGGGGCAAATAAATTAACTGTACAAAAATAAGAGACAGTATCAGAGCAGCACATAACATTGTGTGGCTCTTTCATACCAATGCTGACCAAATACAGAACACAGATATTTTGCAACCAACTAAAGCTGCTTTTCAGAAAGACGTCCCTTTTAGATAGAACCGAGTCTGCCTCTGGCTGTAGTGAAGTCAAGGCTCTCGCTGTCTTAGAGCAAACTCAGGGCTGTGCCATGTCTCAGACTGGGTCAGCAGTTCTCAGTCTCCATGTTTACTTTGCTGAATCTGAATTTTAAAGCCAGTGCAAGTCTGGAAGAGTCTGGGTGTTTTCAGTCACTATTCCAAACAACAGATTCTCAGCGTAGCTGATTCACATTTGAAGAGCCATGCCAAAATTGGGCTAGGGAGTTAATCTCCCATTAGTAAAAGATCATCCTCATGAAGCAACAAAATACAGGGCAGATTATTTTCTTGCAAACAGGCACCCTCCTGAAAATAACAGTTACCACACAGACACTCCAAACAAGGTCAAAAGTGAATGGGCCCGAGTTAAACTAAGCATTAAATCACAGAGACAGTCACCTCAAAAGCAGATGAAGGATTTATTTTTAAAAGTAATCTTTTACTACCCTTGCTCAGTGTATAAACATGCATCAGAAACATTTCTCTTTTCAAGGAGGAATTCGCAGCAGTTGGCACCTACAGAGACAGGCACCACCAGCAGAAGGATAACAAGTCTTTGATTTTTATTACATAACAACAACTTTATGGAAAACTTTGTAGCTTGCCAGTTCAGAGAGCAGATGAAACGGAAATGAAGCATTACACTGAAGTTAAGCTTAGTGTGCCCTTAGGACTCCATCAGAAAGCACAATCTAGAAATTTTCTCTCTATTCAAAGAAAATAAAGGTAATTTGTAGAAGAAAAATGAAAAGGGTTTTCTTTTCAACTACATCAACTTACTTTGATTTCTCATGAATGTATCATTTTAGCTTCCAGTAAAGACTGTGCTGCACAGCCAGGCCTCCAAAGACAGTAAGATATTACCAGATTTCATAAATATTACTTACTTCTCTGAACAAGCATAATGAGGTTTCCTCTACTGTACTATTCCACAACAAACATCAAAACCCTCTAATAACTGCTCCACAGCCCCCAGCCCACCTGCAGCTGGAATGAAAGTCTTGTGCATATGCCAGAGAGTGGAATACATTCCCTCCTCCAGCTGAGGGGGTGACGATTACACCCACTACCCACACAACAACTGCCTACTTGCATATTATAAGAAATTTCTATTCACCATATACCTTCATGTCCAGCAAGGGCAGAAATGATCAGGAGTTGATGCGAACATAATGGTACATGTAAGCAACATGCTCTGTGTACTTCGCTATGATTAAACTAAGCACAACTGTAATCGTACTTGCAATAAGGTTCTGCAGCTGTGCGAAAGCCACAAGAAGGTTGTATACTCAGCTATGGATGACAGCAATTTATGCACTTATAAAACCCTGTGGTCTTCAACATAAATTAGAAGACAAGATCACAACTGTACTAATCCCTGATTTAAAAGGCAAAATTGTTATTATCATCCCCACTGATTAAACAATAACATAGATGGCTTGTCATCAATATTGAAGATCAAAGTACAGTTCCAAGAGCAAGAACTTATCAACTGAATATTCTGCCTCCGCTGTCCAAGTAAAGCAACACTCCACTTCTAAAATATGAGTTCTTGATGTCTTATGTGATTTCTTACATGACTACACCAACAGGAAGAGTTGACAATTGCTCTAGAGGGGCTGAAAAAGCTTTAGAGAAGTAGCTGCAGTACGGATGAGCTAGTTCTCTAAGAATTTAACAGACCTTCATTATTTCTGGCAATACCTGGAGAAGCTGCACACTGCCACTCCTTCAGACTGAAAATCTGTGCATCTCACCAGCTACAAGAGCTCAATATGTAGCATACAATGTATCAGAATAAGACTCTGGTGGATGTAAGTAGGACATAATTAGCGCACAAATATACAATACAAATGAAAAAATGGACACTAGGGAAAAGACAGACGCTAGCATCCAGAAGAGCTGCATGATCTGAGTATACACCTGTGTTCTCATAGCACAAAGGAGATTAATATAATGCTTAAAGACTTCTTTACAAAAAAACTGTTTTCCTATTTATGTCCCTCCACTGGTCACAGCTCTCATGGCATATGTTACATCCACTCACAGAAAAGCGAAGGTCCATAACAGCTCCTAAAGTAACAGTTTTCTTCATACAGACTTGTTTTGCACTCTTCAGGAAAAATTATCCCAGAAACACACTACTTCACCAAAAGAAAGAATGTCTTAACATACGAATTCTTAAAATATGGAGAAGAAATTAACACCCTAGAGATCCAAGCAAGTCTCTTTTATCAAATAACCTAGCTATAGGTCTACTTAAATCAGTTAACAGTGATATTCAATACTGTCTCCCAATACAGCTGAAAAAAATATGTAAAAAAGAATTATGAAAGCATATTTTTATTCAAGAAATCAAGACAGCAGTAACTGCAAAGAGAACGCAATTACCCCACTGAGTTAGGACAGCACATGCAAAGACAGCAGTGTCTGTCTCGTATGTGCAGCATATATTTCCTTCCTTGAACTAAAGCAGAAGAGAGAAAAACTCCACCAAAACACCTCTGTCTGCTTTGAACAGTCCTGAAAAACAATTACGAGGTAGTCAGAGAGGAAACCGCAACAGCTCTCCCTATCTGCATGTAAGGTGCAGAGTTGCACTTGCCTACAGAAGGTTGAGTAAAATCGGACAGCACAGGCGCTGCACTCTGTACTGGAAGAGCATGGGGCATGCAACAGCACTGGGAAAGATATGAGAGCTTAGGGAAAACACAAAGGTTACACACACCCGTTGCAAACGGCAGAAGGCGGGAGGATGTCAGTATCACAAGTGATAACACGGAATCCCATGCATACCTTACGGTAACAAGGCTGCACTGAAAGACTGAGGTGTTGAACACACAGCACAGTGTACATTCAGACGCACACCCATGCCCATATAAACTGGCAGAAAATACAGGGAGAGGAACCCACAAGTCAGTGAGGGCTGGGACCCGCACCTGCCGGCCCTAACACCCTCTCCCACCCAGCCGAAGAGGGCACTCACAGCTCTGCCCACAGCGGACAGGCCGCCCAAGTCGGTCTGGAATCGGGAGGTGGGAAGAGGGCCAGGCAACGAAGGAGTGAAAAGAGCGGGACAACGCCGCGGCTGCTTGGCGACGGGGCAAGGGGGGTCCCGCAGCAGCGCGGCCTCCGGGGCATCGCAATGACAGGTCAGGGAGAAGGCAGGAAGGGGAAAGCTGCGAGG